TAGGGAATCGGAGCAGCTCTTTTCTCCGTCTGCCTCTTTTTCCATTTCCTCTCTCACTTTATCTATATTCTTCACTTTCTATCCCCCCCCCTCTGTCTGTGTCTCCGTCTCTTGCTTTCTTCCCTACTTTTGTCATCCTCCTATCTCACCCCCTTTCTATCTCTTTCTCCACTTCTCTATTTCCCCTTTGGCTCTTATTAAGGATCATGCCATCGTTCCGTCACTTCTTCCGCCGCTGTTAGTCCTTTTTCTACACAGGCTGATCCTCAGCCAGTCAGCTGTCAGCACAGGCCCCTCTGCACTGGGCGAAAGGTTATTCTCTCAGGCTGGGGGTGTGTGTGCAACTTTGATCTGGTTTGCAGCAGGCCTGCCCCCCCAAGACCTCCAAACTGTAGCCTCCTCATTCTAACAGCTTCATCATGCTCCCCTAGTTTGGGCTGTTAGAGAGACCTTTCCTCACAGAGTTAATGAATACCCTCTGACTGACATGCGCTACCTTTAAATCACCACTCACAAGTTGGAAATTAATGTTTTAAATAAAAAAACCATATGGACAAAAGTATTGGGACAACTACCCATCACACCTACAGGAGCTTTTATGAATCCCATTCTAAATCCATAGGCATTAATATGGAGTTGGTCACCCTTAGCAGCTCTAACAGCTTCCACTCTTCTGGGAAGCTTCCTACAAGATGTTGGAGAGAGTCTGTGGGAATTTTTGCTTATTCATCCAGAAGAGCATTTGTGAGGTCAGACACTGATGTTGGACAAGAGGGCCTGGATCACAATCTCCGTTCTAGATCATCCCAAAGGTGTTGGATGGAGTAGAGGTCAGGGCTCTGTGAGGGCCAGTCAAGTTCTTTCACACCAAACTCACCCAGCCAAGCCTTTATGGAGCTGCTTTAAGCACATTTTTCATATTATTTTATGTTTTTTTCCCAACACGTTAAATTCAGGAAATAAGTAGAAATTGTGTACATTTTCGAGAAAGAAATATCATATTTACATCCCCTGTAGAGGATGTGTTCGCTTATTTTCACTTAGAAAAGCAACAGAACATGTCATTTGACCAAGGGTGTCTAGACTTTTGCAAACGACTGCAAGAGTGAGGACTGGAAGCCTGAAAACACTGACGGTTCCATAAGGTTAATTATCGAATCCATCAAATTCTACTGAATATTCGTTGCAGCTCTAGAATGAAATTTTTATAATATTAAAATCTAAATATGTGATGTATTTCAAAAGTGCTTTCGAATTTTTAACGTACTGGTTATAATTGTAAAAAAATCTGAATGGTAGTATAAAGGAAGGAATCTACTCTCCCCAACACACACACACACACACACACACACACACACACACACACACACAGTGTTTGTTTCTGTGAATTGTGGGGACATTACATAGTCTTCCATTCATTTCCTGGAGAACCAAACCTTAACTATAAAAACTACCGACCTAATCCTAAAGTTAACCGTACGCTAACTTTAAAGCATCTTCACCTTAATATGTAATGATCTATGTTGAGGGGACCAGCTTGTGGTCCCCACCTGGAAGAAAAGTCCCCACAGCTTACACAAGTATGTAAACAGATTTTGGTCCCCACAACGTGGCATAAACCTGGTACACACATACATCCACTCTGAATTCTCTGCAGCATTTGAGCTGTCACAGAAGCTTTGGAGGAGCTTCTAACGTGGGTGATTTAACATAGCTGCTCACTCCTGCTCCATCACGCGCGGACGACACACGGCCGTGAAGAAAAGAGAGCGATCAAAGAAAAAGTGCATTGTGAATTGTGATGGAAAAGACGTGGGCTTTCTTAACGTTTGGGGACGGCTTCCTCCGCACATTCGGCAGAGCCGTTTGAATGGTTGGGAAGCTGCAGTGTGTGTTTTGCAGCAGCTGTTTGCACACACCCAGGAGTCAGCTTGTGATCGCTACAGCCAGGTGTGTTATATTAAGACTAGAATAAACTGTAGAGTCAGGGCGCAGTCGAAGGGGCTGTAAGTACACAAATGTACAAACACTCACCCGCCAATAACAAACGTATCTTGGGGCTAAGAATCCTGTGATTACTCTCTGAGTCAAGAATGAGCTACGGAGCTGTTTCTATAGACCTGGCACAAGTCAAAAGTTTGGACATACCTAGTTGGATGTTTCATAATCTTAAAGGGCCCATATCATGGAAAATGTGGAAGAATTTCCTCACTTTTTTTGGAGTGTTAAGAAGTATGTGAACGTTTCAAATCGTACTGTTGATTCCCCAGTCCATACAGTCCATAGGCAGAAACAAAACTGCAAAAACAGCCTATTTTGAATTCAGTGTTTCTGTGATGTCACAAGAACCAACTCATTTTCTTATATCCACACATTCAGCCAAGTTATAAGAAGGGTTTCAGATCATGGATTGTAAACCAATAAGAACAGAGTTCATATTGCCGTTGTCAGAAAAAAAGTGTGTGTATGTATAAAAAATAAAATACAAGAAACATGCTGGACATGGGCTACTTTTCACAGTAGCCAATTTTTGGAGGTCCCTCTGTTTTTGCACTATGCATTTTTTTATTCAGTAACATTGATGGAATATATTTTGATGGAAATTTGTATGAAGCAAACTGGATTTTTATCTTCATAGGTGAGCAAGTCAGTGTTTTAAAAGTGTTTTGTGTTTAAATGCTGTTTTCTTATTGTATCAATTGTACTGGATTGTTTGATGTGACGAAAACTGCAGTTGTCCGTTTTATCTTGAGACGGCTGTCTTTGTGGAGAGGTGTGAATTGTTTTTCACAGCAGGGGGTTCTCACCCCTCCCTTTTCACCCACCATTGCTCACTAGCAGCTCAACACAGAGTCACAACATTTTACACACAGCAGTGTCCTAGTTCTTCTGATACCTTAAAACATGAGTTGTGGATAAAAAATATTGTGTTTGAATTTAATGATTACAGATATCAGTTTCCTTTCTGCTAGCGAAATAGCCACTAGGGGGCCTGCAGAAAGAGGCTTATGCTTAAATGCTATAAACTTGTTTATAAATAGCTTTTCTAAAATGGACAGTAGCCCAGTATCACCATTTGTCCTTTCATATCTTTCAAATCAAATCTTTTTGCTCTTAAAGACTTTCAGCCTATTTGTTTAGTGCTTTGTTTAGTGAGTTGCCCTCTATATTTTATGAAAAAAATTGTTGAATAAACCAAAAGAAATAGTCCAAAATCACTTGGCTGAGGCATCACACTCGCAGCCTCCTGGTGATAGGGAGGACAGGGAGATGCTTAGACAGCTGCACCACTCAGGAATCTGCAAAACAAAAATATTAAATGAAAAAATATTTTCTTGAAAAACTCTCCCCCCCAGCAAGTATATTTCTCAGCTACCGCAGTGCACAGCATATGTGTATGTTCTTCAGTGCTGTTGGAAAAGCATCCCAGGTGGCTCCTCATAAAGCTGCTGTAGAGAATGCCAAGAGTGTTCGAGGCTGCATCGAGGCAAAGGGGGGCCACTTTGAAGAAACTAAAAGATAGTTTGGATTTGTTTTGGGTAATTCATCCATATCTGTGATGTCTTCATTCTCATTCTAAAACGGGTAAAATGGTAAACATAAAAAACCCTGTAAGTAGGTGTGCCGAAACCTTTAACTACTGCCATATATCAAATTTAAAAGGCCTGTGTTGTGGAAATCTGAGTAATCTCACCCTTTTTACAGTTTGAGACAAGATGTAAACAATCAAAATTTAACACATACTGTTCACTCTACATGGAAACTAAGCTGCAAAACTGCTTCTGTTTTTGTAATGTATGACCCTCCGATTCAGCCAATAGCAGTTTAGCTCCATGTATTCACACTGAAGTTATACAGACTGTTTCAGCCTGCTATGTACTGCTTTTTGAATAAGGCACAGTGTAGGGTATATCAGAACAGAGCTCATTTACATATATCTACCTTAAAGGCGCAGTAACAAAAACAGTCTGTTTAAGACGGGGGTCAGCAATGTGTGGCTCCAGAGCCACATGCGGCTCTTTTACTGCCCTGTTGTGGCTCCGCAGCTGAATTAGATTTTTAGGTAAAAATAAAATAATCCTCCTTTACAGTAAAATAAAGCTCTGCTGATCGTTCAACACAGTTTAACAATAAATGGTCTTAAAAGCTGGAGTTAATTTAGAACTGCTAATTCACCCTTTAACCCTGAGGATCAGCGCAGACTGCTGGTTACCATAGCAACGCAGACAACAATCTTGTCTAGCTAGTAGCTAACGAAAAGACAATGAGATTCAAGACAAACATTGATGATTTGGAGACGAAATGATACATTTAATCTGCAATGAAAAACTGGCAAATGTGAAAAAGTCGCGAAGCTGAAGTCAGATTCTTTTTCGAATTTTCCCTTTCCACCTTAAGTGGTGCAGCAGTTACAGTCTGGCACCTCAGGCACCATTTAAGGTGGAACGGGAAAATTCGAACAAGAAGTTGCTGAATGAGAAGCGACTTCTGCCTCGTAAAAAACGTTGAAAGACATTTTACAAGAAACTGTTCTACTTTTGAGGAAATGTTTCCTTTTGGAGATGCGAGAAAAGCGGCTGTAGCTGAGCGAAGCTTAAAGTAGAGCAAAGTAAGTCTGTGTTTGCGTTTATATTACATTTTTAGTTTATACTAGTACATTAGCACATACTGAGACATATTTACAGCCAAGAAAAAACAATAAACCAATAAAACAGACTTCAAAAAAACAGGCTCCCAAGGTGGTTTGATTTTTTTTGAAAGGACAAAATGGCTCTGTCTAACATTAGGGTTACTGACCCCTGGTTTAAGGGATAAAGAGAGGTTGGAAAATGGCCACGTAATAATGAGTCATGACTGTTTTTCATACATAAACGTACATAAATCTTATAAGTGGATCTCAGAGAAGCAAAAAAATATATATAAATATGTGAAATATGGGTTTTTAAAGTTTGTGCTGAATGTAGTAATTGAATGTTATAATTATTCCTCCTGTCCACTAGGTGGTGTACAAGCGTGCAGACATGGCTATCGGCTCGCTCACGATTAACGAGGAGAGGTCAGAGGTTATCGACTTCTCAGTGCCCTTCGTGGAGACGGGGATCAGCGTCATGGTCTCCCGTAGCAACGGAACAGTCTCACCTTCCGCCTTCCTTGGTGAGTTCATGTCTCACAGTTAAAAAAATGAAAGGAAACACAGAAACAAAGCAGTTTTTCATTGGAAGCTTAAGTCATTTTTCCCCGTATAAGATTATGATGAACGAGTGTGCAGATGATGCATATTGTATGCATCAATCAAAGTTAGTGTTCCCCATCTAAACAAACGATTTATATCACTTCACTGAAATGCAATAGATAAACATTCTCTGACCAAACTTAATGCTGCACTTTATTTTGTTATTAATGCATCCGTGTCTGTTTTTACATTATGGAAGGCTTTTTGTAGCCTAATGATCAATACAAATGTAATTGTGCAGACAGCATACAAAGTTGTTTGGATCTTTCTCTCTCTCTTTCTGTCTATCTGTCTCTCTGCCTGTCTGTATCTCAGAGCCCTACAGCCCCGCTGTTTGGGTCATGATGTTCGTTATGTGCCTGACCGTGGTAGCCGTGACCGTCTTCATCTTCGAGTTCTTCAGTCCAGTCGGATATAACCGCAGCCTCCAGAACGGCAAGAGTAAGTCAACCCACAGCTCTAAGCGGGATTCACACTGGACTTGTCTTTTATGGGCCGAGGTGCTTTTTTCTTTTGTTTTCAATGGAAGAGATACATATTGTGGCTGTTTTTGCACACTGACCCTGCGTGGTTGTGTTATATTTGGAGCATTCCGAGCCTCTAGAGTTGGGAAAAAGGTTAAAAAGGTGGTCAAGTACCTTACGTCATGAGCGTTTTTCTATGCTGACCAGTCAGATCAAAGGTAAGGTAGCTGTAATGGAAGAGAAATTAGTGGCTGCAGTCCTTCACGGATCTTAATCATACGCATAAACAAAAAGCAGCTGTTTTATTTTAGCTTGATTTTGCTAACAGCACCATGTTTACTAGTTAATACTAGTCATTTTTGCTTATACACATCAAAACTGTGGCTTACTAGCACCGCTGGGATTTTATTAGTGCCATGCTTCAGTTTTTCGTTCTTTCGTTATGGCTGTTTCTCAGTACCCGTTCTTGTGTGTTCTTGCATTCTCGTGTTCTTGCTCAACGTCATCCTCCACATATTCTGAATTTATGTGCATCTAAACGGTAGCGTAATGCTGGTGAAATCAGGCTCAGGTTGAGCTGTTGCACAGTAGCAAGTACACAGAATATCTCAAACTCCTATACGTGCATTGTCCGTTCCTGTGCGCTGGCAAGTTCCTTCTTGCGAGGTAACTTGTCAAGAACATTGCTCTCAAGAGGACAAGTCTGTTCCTCATGTATTGACAAACACCTTTTGTTATCTATGATAAACAAGCAAGACGTTTGTTTACTTTTAGCTAGCAACAGAGAGATGCCCAGCCCATTTTTTGTATAAAATACAAAATAAATGTAGGAAACTGGCCCTTTAATTGACTTTGTCCACTAATCATTACACACAACTCATTGACGGCCACTCTGTTTACTCTCACACATCCATATTGCATTTTAATGATTGACCATATTTTAGCTGATTTCTGCGCCGTCTCTATAGATACAGGACGAATGAAGACGCGTCCTGAATTACAGAGAAAGGCTAATAAGTAAACTCACCTCAACTCACATCTCTGTGGATCTGAGTTTGATTGCTCTGCAGTAGCAGCTGCTGACTTTTTCACTTTCCTACAGCCCTCATGTATAATAGAAGAGTGCAGGAGCTTCTCTTGCTCCTCCGCTACCTCTTTCTTTTCCCACTTTTTGCCAGTATGCTGCTCTTTTCTGTCCTCTGAATGTCCACTCTGGTGTCCTGTATCCAGTTTACTGCTTAGGAACGATCATAAAAAGATTCAGAAACTGCGGAGGACCTGAGTGTATGCTTTTTTTATGCCTAAAGCTTTGTGACTCTCTCTCTGTCTCTCTCTCTACTATCCTAGAAGCTGGAGGCTCCAAGTTCACCATTGGGAAGTCCATCTGGCTGCTGTGGGCGCTGGTCTTCAATAACTCAGTGCCCGTGGAGAACCCTAAAGGGACCACCAGTAAGATCATGGTGCTGGTGTGGGCTTTCTTCGCCGTCATCTTCCTGGCCAGTTACACTGCCAACCTGGCCGCCTTTATGATCCAAGAGGAATACATTGACACCGTTTCTGGCCTCAGTGACAAAAAGGTGCGTTTGTGTGTGTGAGTACGTGTGAAGGAATCAGAACCAGAGAAAAGAAAAAAAGAGTTCCAAGGGAACCGTGTGCGCGTGCATGCTTGAGCTCGCGCGGTTTTCATTATTCAGGGCAGTGCGTGGATGTGGAGTGTAGAATCGATTTTGTTCATGCCTACAGAGACTTAAGCAGGGAGAGCGAGTGCACTCAGCCAGGACAGAAGATTGATAACACTTTTGGGACTGTGTGGATCAAACAGCCAATCAGAACGCTAACAAAAAGGACACGTTTGTTCTTCCGTGAAGCAAAATATTGTTGAGGATAAAGCTATTAAAGTGGTTTTTATAGATGCTGCTTGATGGTATCAATTTGCAAATTGTGCCAAAGCAAAGTAATGTGGTCTCAGACGACCGGGGTGTTAATGCTGTCTGAGGAAAAGCTGTGTGAAGCTTGACACTTTTGTAGTCTGAAAAATACGGCATATATCATAAAAATTTGGCTTATATCAGGGATCAGCAGCTCAGATTACCTGGGGTGGTCTTCGCCAAAGATGGTGAAAAAAATACAGACAAAAAAAGTGTCCCTTATGTTTTTTTTTAAAGTATGTGTTTAAGTACAGTCTTTATTAGCAATTATTCTGTCACCACAAACCACAACAGCAACAACTACTATTAATGAACAAAAATAATGTTTATAATATTGATACAGATTATAAATTGTTAGCTGTGAAAAGTGTTTAATAAATATTTTAGTGTTCAGTTGAATCATTCAAGGTTACATTAAACAGAAGAATCATATGGGACTCTTATTGTGATAGCATTATCTTTCCTTGCCACACGCTACTTAAATGTTGGCAAATGAGCGATTAAATCTGCATTTTCTTCTTAATTCTTAATTCTGACCAATTTCACTCAGCTAAATGTTTATGCCACTCATTTTTTTTGTCCCTTGAAACTAATGCCTAAAATTAATCACCTAAAATATTAAACCTCCCGTCCTACATTAATTTTGGCCAGAGGACTTTTTTGGCTGTTTTTTGTTTTTGCTCTGCCCTGCACTCAACTGGATAACAGTTCATTAACTCTTGCTGATATTTGAATGTCAAAATCAGTCAGAATGCACAACCCTAATGTCAAATCCGAATGCACCTTAAAGTCGCAGGGAACACAGAGTAAAATATTAAAACGTTTGTATGATACTAAACTTGAGTGTTATATTAAACATCCAGCAAAGCTTAAATTAAAAATGTAAGATATAAATATGATAAAACATGGCTTAAAACCTGCTGATCAGACGTATCTGAGAACTGTATGGGCGTGGCTAATGAGCAGCTTGATTGACAGCTCTGTGTCTAACACTCTTAGTTTGTTCGGCCCCTCATACAGAACTAAAATCATTATCTGGCTTTTATGTCACGCTAACTGGATGAAATAAGTTATGGACAAACAGACGTGCAGATGGATAGACAAAGCAATGCACAAACGAATGGACAAACGAACAGTGTTGGTGTTGGATAAACAAATCAATGGGTGACAATCAGCTCCAGACAGGTGGTCTAGCTTGCTAGCTTTTGGTTATGCTGGGTTAGCTTTATATTGGCCATTTATTAGACTTTGGGAAGATATTCATAAGACATACTTTGTACATTTATATTTAGGGACCAGAGGAACAAGATTAACTGAATTAGAAAGAAAACTCAGATTTAGGTTCCCTGGGGCTTTAAACAGTGCCACCTCCTGCCTCTCTGGTTAAGTCTATCTGTACATAATCACACTGTTGGGAGTCAAACCTGTATCTTCATAAATGTCACACAAAGAGGCCACTTTACCTCCACTCCTTAGAAATGTATTTGCCTTTCACTGAAAGTGTTTCTGACTTTTGTGAAGAAATGCCACTCGGCTGCCTGTTTAAGACCGCTAATGCTTTTCTTCGGAGCGTGTCTTAGTGTAGGAAAACATCTCTGGCTCAGTTTTTGATCCTTTTTCACTGCAGTATGACAGCTTTCCTCCCTCTCATTTTGTCTCCTGTGTTCTTACTGTTTTTATTCGAGGAGTTAAAATGTTTTGTTTTTATTTGAAGTGAATTTGTTTACTAGGTTCAGTTTTGTGTTTTAATGAAGGTGTGAGATTGTAGTCATGGTTATAGTGAATGACTTTAATGCTGATTTGATTGGATGATTGAGAATTCGGAGCTCTGTTTTTCATACCCTTAAGGATATTTTGACCAAAAGGTTTATGCTTAAGGGCATGATTTTTTTAAAAGACAAATATAAATGGTGAGCTTGAAGTATGAATTTATTTCCAAAACAACCTAAAAAAAAGCTGTGAAACCTCCCAGCAAGTAGTTTTGAGCAGACAACAGGTCTTCAGCATATGTGTATCTTCTTCAGTCCTGTTGGAAAAGCATCTCAGGTTGCTGCTTGAGAGAATCAAGAGTGTGTGAAGCCGCATCAAAGCAAAGGGGCGGCTACTTTGAAGAAGTGTGGAAATATTTACTTGCTGAATAATTTCATAGTTTTTATGCACTGACTGTTTTTCTAAAATGTGAAAAAAGGATAAAAATAAGGAAACGCCGTCTATGAGTGAGAGTGCCCACACTTTTGACACTGGTACTACACATATGCACACACGTGTATGTGTGTGTATTTGCATGTGTATATATAGATACAGTCGTATACAAAAGTTAGTCATGCAGTAGTTGGTGAGCATGTTTGCACAATGAGCTGCATTCTGAGTAAATCAAGCATTAAATTCAGGGGCTTTGTGAGCATGTATTGTATTCGCATCACAGTACATCTGTGCTCGTACACCTGGTCAAATTACAGGTTTTGCGAAATGGGTTAATACATCAATACTTATTATACCAGTAAATATTACTCCACATTTCTTATTTATTTTCTGAGTTTAACATGTTGGAAAAAAACATGCCATAACTTTTGCACAGGCCACAGATATGTTACATTTAGCGAATAGTAACTGTACGTTAAAATATGCAGAAGTACGTTCTCAGTAGAGAATCCGTTCACTTATTTCACTTAGAAAATCAACAACACATGGAACTTGACCAGCTCTGTATCATGTATATCGCTGCTGTCGGAGCAAAACCTCATATCTCAATTTTTATCGTTTTTCAGTTTTCGTTATAATTTGAAAATGCCTGTTGTTCTTTACGTTGTATGTACATTTCATCATGAATGGACTAAAAGAAACGACCCAAAATGACTTGGGAAAAAGTCTGGTTCCATTGACTTACGTTAAAAGTAAAGTAGGTTTTTTCCTTCTCCTGTAAAGTTACCGTTTTGGATATATGGAGTTTTGTTCTGACAGCAGTGATATGCAGATTATTTGTATCATCACAAAGCATTGTAAATGTTTTTAATGGATGATGCATAGTTTGCTCCATTATTTACCTTCTTTACTGGGAAGCAGCAAAAGACTCTTCAACCAATGTATTGTGCCTTTTGCAAAGTTTATGCAGTTTCTGGACTGCATACACAATAAAATGCAGAATGTGTTTCTCTTCCTCATACATATGCAAAATGTGGGTGGAGATCTGACGTGTGTCTGATTACATATTCCGAAGTTTTGAGCAAGTTACGCCAGTTAGTTTTGTGTGGCCTGGCACAAATTTGCATAAAGGTTTAAAAAGACATGTTGTTGAGAGCGTCTTTTAACGATGAGGGTGTATACATGCACTCAATAATCCGATAAATGCAAAAGATCTGATTTTGTCAGTAATCCCATCAACATGTTTACATGCACTTGAGTAATCAGATAATGGGGAAACTCTGGGTCTACATGAGTCAGTAATCATATTTCTGCTTTGCAACTGGCCAATAGACTCACAGAAGAAGACGTGTCTTAAACTTCACACCGCAGCTTTTTATTTTAAACATTGCGCCACTTTACCTGAAAAATGAACTTACTTCATCCAGAAGATGAAGAATATTCAAATCCTGTATTTCGTGTTTGGTTTCAGCGCCGCTCCAAAAGTGTTTTGCTGCGTCTCGCAACTGAAAGATCCGAAAGAAATCAGAGTAAGAGTTTACAAGCACTGAGAAATCTGATTACTGAGCTAAAATCCAGCTCTCTTTATTGGATTTATTAATCAGATTGGGGTATGGTGTTTACATGACCATTTGAATAATCGGATAACTGCAGAAATCCAATTATGATCGGATTATTGAGTGCATGTATACGCACTCAGTGACAGCAGAAACAGCTGCTAGATGGAGGCATGAGACTCGAACGTGTGGCTACTATTACTACTACACAATAATTACTGATACTACTTATCAGAACACCGTTTAAACTCTCAGGACCACGTATGTGAGAAGGTGCGGAGTAAAAATATGCCGTGATGCACCTGCAGTATCCGTCCATGTTATCATTTCGCAGACTCTGTCTTGTGGAATGACACTGTGCCTTTTAAACCCTGCACCTCACAAACATGCAGTTAGTGAGCATGTTTGCGTGATGAGCTACAGTCAGAGTAAATCAGGCATTAAATTCAGGGGCATCGCGTTCGCGTCAAGGTACATTTTGCACTGCGTCTGGCACGGCGAGTTTCAGTCAGTTCCATGCTCTCTTCTGTTTTCTGCCCCCTCAGTTCCAGCACCCGACGGAGCAGTATCCTCCGCTGAAGTTTGGGACGGTTCCCAACGGCAGCACCGAGAAGAATATCCGCAGTAATTACCCCGACATGCACCACTACATGATCAAATACAACCAGAAAGGAGTGGAGGAGGCCATCACCAACCTGAAGACGGGGTGTGTGCTGCTTTCCTCCTGTTCAGCCCCCCCGCATCTCTCCTTTAATCTCATCCCTCACTCTATTTTTTATTTATTTTTATTTTTTTTTGTTCTTGCCTCCCAACCGCCCCAGTTCGTTTCACCTCTCAACCCGGATTGCTTTCTGTAGATTCTCTTTTTTTGATGTGTTTGCACTTTTTCTCACTTCCTGGCTCTTTTTTCACTCTCTCTCTCTCACTCTGTCTCTCACATGCACACTCTGTATCTGTCTCTCTTTCCTGTTCTCACACACACTCTTCCCCTCTCGGTCTCCGCATCGCGAGTTGTTAATCCACACAGTGTGGTTTTCCTAAGCCTGTCATTTCCTCGCCCCTTTTTGCATACTCGTTCGCTAATATGCCTGAAAAGCAGATGTTCTTTCTCTGCCTTCTCACTGTTTCCTCTCTCCCTCTCTCTTTCTCTCTCTCTATCTCTCTCTCTCCTTCCTTCCCCCTCCCCCTCCCCCTGCAGTAAGCTGGATGCGTTTATCTATGATGCCGCAGTGCTGAACTACATGGCTCGTAAGGATGAAGGCTGCAAAGTGATGACTATTGGCTCCGGTAAAGTCTTCGCCACCACAGGCTACGGCATCGCCCTCATCAAAAACTCACGCTGGAAACGGCCGCTGGACCTGGCCCTGCTGCAGCTGGTGGGCGACGGTAAGCACCTGACCCACAGGCTGACCCCAGATCAGCGGTCAAAGGTGGTTAAACCAGTGGCTCAACCAGAAATTAAATTCACAGTTGTCCTTGTTACCTCACGTGTTTGATCAGCCAAGACATGTTTGAAGTCTGAATTGTGCTTTGTTAGGTTTGAGGCTAATGTAGCTAACAAGCACTGGACGCTCGTACTCCACCAGTTTGGCACTGTGTAACACTTTTGCAACAACAAAATTATGCAAGAATTTTGAACAATTTTTTGAAAAATTCCCATTTAACGATTAGGATAAAAGATATACAGTAATATGGGACAGTGTGATATACAGTAATATGGGACAGTGTGTTCTATGGTAATATGGGACAGTGTGTTCTATGGTAATATGGGACAGTGTGATATATGGTAATATGAGACAGCGTGTTCTATGGTAATATGGGACAGTGTGTCATATGGTAATATGGGACAGCGTGTTCTATGGTAATATGGGACAGTGTGTTCTATGGGACAGTGTGTCATATGGTAATATGGGACAGCGTGTTCTATGGTAATATGGGACAGTGTGTTCTATGGTAATATGGGACAGCGTGTTCTATGGTAATATGGGACAGTGTGATATATGGTAATATGGGACAGCGTGTTCTATGGTAATATGGGACAGTGTGTTCTATGGGACAGTGTGTTCTATGGTAATATGGGACAGCGTGTTCTATGGTAATATGGGACAGTGTGTTCTATGGTAATATGGGACAGTGTGTTCTATGGTAATATGGGACAGTGTGATATATGGTAATATAGAACAATGGGATATATGGTAATATGGGACAGCGTGTCATATGGTAATATGGGACAGCGTGTTCTATGATAATATGGGACAGTGTGATATATGGTAATATAGAACAATGGGATATATGGTAATATGGGACAGTGTGTTCTATGGTAATATGGGACAGTGTGATATATGGTAATATGGGACAGCGTGTTCTATGGTAATATGGGACAGTGTGTCATATGGTAATATGGGACAGCGTGTTCTATGGTAATATGGGACAGTGTGTCATATGGTAATATAGAACAATGGGATATATGGTAATATGGGACAGCGTGTTCTATGGTAATATGGGACAGTGTGATATATGGTAATATAGAACAATGGGATATATGGTAATATGGGACAGTGTGTTCTATGGTAATATGGGACAGTGTGTCATATGGTAATATGGGACAATGTGTTCTATGGTAATATGGGACAGCATGTTCTATGGTAATATGGAACAGTGTGTTATATGTTAATATGGGACAGTGTGACATATGGTAATATAGAACAATGGGATATATGTTAATATGGGACAGTGTGTCATATGATAATATGGGACAGTTTGTTATATGATCATCTGGGACAGTGTGTTATAAGGTAATGTGTCCCAAATATGGCCCTGAATGATAAAGCCATTATTTTTTTTCAGTTTTCTTTATTTTGATCCTCTTTCTCAAAGTGTCCCTCATTAACTGATGATGTGTCATACCTGAATTCACCCTAAATTTAACTTACAAAAAGCCTGTACATTCCCACCAGACCTACTTTACCCAGTAGAGCCCTGAACTGATTTAATATAGTCTAATTGAGGTAGGTCTATGACTCTATTATGTCAGCGTGTGTGATAAGCTACGGTCCACTCCAACGCACTCTAAAGGATTAGATTCAGTTGCACTTGTCCAGCTACTAATACTTTAATTGGCATTTCTACGGTCTCTGCACGCATGCACGCACACAAACACCACTGCGCATCCCCACGTAGTGTATTGTTTTGATTGGATGCTTTGTTTGATTGCCCTTTTAATCCTCTTTGGTTTTTGGTGTATGTAGAGCAAAGCCAAAAAAGGAGTGGGAGCTTGAGCAAGTGTGTGTGTGTGTTTGTGTGTGTGTGTTTTGTATGTGTTTGCCAGGTCCCGACTGCGAGAGCATCTCATTGGTGCCAGGTCCCATTAGCTAACACCGCAGTTAAACAGCTAAACCTGGCATGACGGCTTTACATGTGAAATGAATAGTGACATTTGTAGTTTTCTTGCTGTTTCCGCGCGGGTGTGTGGCTTGTGTGATGTTATTTTTCTAAATCAGCCCTCCTCGCTTCGCTGTTAAATCGTTAAATAGCACAATAGGGTTTAGAGGGTGTGGACGCTAATGACTTGCTGTGTACTGGTTGGGGATTACCTTTTTTTTGTTTGTTTTTTTTTGAAGCGGTTCACAGGTGCTGCTTCTCTGTATGACTGCTCCCTCCCTCCTCCACCTGCATGACTGTAATCCTTCCCATCCTCCCTTCTACCTTTCTGACTGTAATCCCTCGCTCCTCTCCTCCTTTTAAAGAGTTACAGCCAGCCTTGATTTAAAGAGGGATGCAAGAAGAATCCTGCTCCCCTTACTTAAAAAAAGAGACAAAAATCGTTCTTCTTGCTGCCCTCCTCTCTCACGTCTTTTGGATTAATGCCATTAAATGATGTCACTGAATCTATAAATATGTCTTATTTTCATAATTTTAAATTTGCACACTGCTTTGCTTTGGCTATTTTGAGAATATTTCCTGTAAAACAAGAGAGTAATGAAGGGGCAAAGGGGCCCCTGCTAATCCTCTGCTTAGCTCGCTCTAATGGGCGTTTTGCATAGACTAATGCAGTGGCTCGAAAAGTGTTGGTGCAGCACATCTTCATTCATTGTGGATTTAGGCAATAAAAGATGTCTGGAGTTAATAAACCAGTAAATTTGAGTTTCTAAGACTGAGGGATTTTCATAATATTTAACTATGTTTTATTAATTAGTGTCAACAGGTGCTATGGGCCAATCTTAGACAATCATACAACACAGAGACTGTGCCGTATTACTACATAACACGCTGTTACATACTGCTATACTGTGCACCATATTACCATATAACACACTGCCCTGCACTGACATATAGTACAGTGCAAAGTCAGAGACCAGTTTCCAGTCAAAGCAGTCATTAAGTACAACTTAGAAATTTTTCAAAAGATTTTTCTTGGGAGAAAGTCGAATGGAAAATAAGTGAAAAAACAGGAGTTTACAAAACCGGAGTTCAAAAAAATGATACAAATATAGAGAAAATGGGACTCCTAACAACCACCTGAAACACTTGAAAGACCTGATAATCACCAAAACTGTCCCCATCAGATAAACAGCACTTTCATCTTTGAGAGAGAGGAGAAAATTAAGCTGCTTCAGATCTGAAAACATCCACAGGTGTTTCTATCCATCCTTCCACTGTGAGAAGACGACTCAGCGCTGTGGGTCTGAAAGGATGTGGAGCTGTCAAGAAGAACCTCACTGAGAAAAGGAGACAGACATAAAAGAAGAACAATTGCACTAAAGTACTAAAACCGAACATCTTACTGAAGGCCCAATCCCATTTCACCCCTTGCCCCCTCTGCTTTGCACGTTCACACTTAGGGCTAGGGTGTCCTGATTCTTGTTGAGATAGAGGGGTAGGGCGAAGTGTTAGGGCTACACAGCCCTCCAAACAGAGGTTTTTCAGAGACACAGTCCAAACGTGCCATTAATGTTGTTTCAATGTGTTACGTTCCTTTTCTTTTTTACAAGCTTAAAAAATCGCTAGTAGTGTGCTGATGTTTCAGTAGCTACCTAGCTAAATTTCCCATTTCACCTTAAATGGTGCAACAGTTACATTCTAGGCCTCAGGTATCAGAACTGCTGCACCATTTAAGGTGGAACGAAAAAATTTGAATAAGAAGCTGGCGATTAGCTGACTTCAGTTTCATATCACCGAAGAATTAGGGGTGGCTGATAATAAATAATTGTCCCCCCCTCTTTGAAGGCATATAGTGCTCTAAATTTAACTAAAGCCCAGCAGCGAGGTTTACTGTTCCTCTGCTATCACTGCAGACTGGCAGGGTCGCCTACAGAGCACCGCTAATGGCCTGTTCATGAAGTAATGTTCTTTTTTATTTGATGGTTGTCCTGTTTTGTGGGGAAGATTTCAGTCACTACCCTTTGTAACTTCTAAGGGGCAAGGGGACACTCGAAAACAAGTGGTAGTGGTAAAAATAAGAAGGGACAATGTGTTGCTGTCCCATATTACCAGTCTTAATTTGTAACTGGGATTACTAGGATTGTGAGAAGCAGAAAATACCACCAACATTTAAGACTAAACTTTTAAGATGTGGAACAATATCCCTGAATGTTTTTAGTTTACCAAAAACAAGTCAAGTAAAGGGTGGACACACTAAATACTGAAAGAAATTAATATTATATTACACTGTTGAGGTGTCAGTCAGAGTTTCAGCAAAATTTCATGATGAACGGAACAAATGCACCAAAATTACTCCTTTTATTGTAAAGTTACTTTTTTGAAGGTTATGAAGTCCACCCTGCTGAATATTATCTGCTTCAGCATTTTAAAAAAGTACCTTCTGAATTCAGAGATACATTTTTGGATGCTTTTCATTGCTATGATGCACCACTTGCGTAGTTTTAGCTGTCACAATTTTACCAAAGTCCATTATAGCACGGTGGTATTCTAAGACTGTGCTTTAGGCTCACTCTGTAGCTGTAAGCTGGTAGATAATTTGGTGTGAAACTCTTGGTGAGCTGACCTTCAGGTCTAACCCACATTCGTGGCTGTCTTTAGGCTGATAATTGTTAAGGTCAGTGGGATCGGAGGGGGCGGCTGAGGGATCAGGGCTGTAGGTCACACAGATGGCGGCATGGCTGGCCCTCAGCCCAGGTTAAGGGCCTTGCTAAAGCTCACTCGCTAAAATGTGCCCACTTAACCGTGCCCGTCTCCCTGTGCCAACCCTCGCCAGTGCTGCCAAACAAACTGAGTCATGCCAAGGCAGGCCGAGAGGTGTGTGTGTTTAGTCTTACACACCTGCTGGGTTTGGCTTTGGACGAAGAAATGTTTGCCATGGCCACTGGCTGTAAGTAGAGAAGCTGAATAAAGGATGCCTTTTGAGTGATACACTGCAGTGGACTTTTAAACTGTAGGTTTAAGAGTTGTGTGTTTTTTTTGTTTACACATAATAATATGTTAAAGAACCCAAATCATAGAAAACAGAATTTTCCTTGATATTTTTTTAATAAAGGATTTGGTGTACCATGCAAACAGTGCCAAAGTTTCCAGCCAATATATATAATCTAAGCTGCTAAATAACGCCTTTTGAATTCATCATGGTTGTGATGTCACAGTCATGAGCACTTTTACGTATGACCACCCAGTCAGCCTACAGCAGTTTAGCCCTACCCATTGTCACTGAAGTGATGTTCCTGCATAAAGTCTGTATCAGAGTGAAACAAATGAATCATAGCAGCCTTTCAGAGGATCTGCACATCTGAAAAGAACGTCTGAAGTTGGAAGTGCTAGTTTCAGGGTAACGCTGCTTCCTCTAAAGCAATGACAATGACAGCGATGATGAGTAGAGCATGTACAGCTTCCCCAGGTGGAGGATTGAATCCCAGTCTGCAGTGTGGGGGGCAGGGTTGTTACCCGCTACACTATACCAGTATCTTTCTTCGCCCTCTGTTTGATTTTTTTGTCAGCTTTTGCAGGCCACATGTACTCACTGGACCAATCACAGTTGTCTCTGTTGCCATCGGCACAGCGACAATCAAGCTGACTGATCGATTGTGTCCCAGCAACCTGCACTTTTTGATAAACATCTAAGGAATTAGTTTGTCCTCTGCTTCGTCATGTATGCTACTAACCTCTGAGCTACGGACATCTGAGCTGTATCCGAAAGTGCTCGTAAAGTTTTGGCTCTTCAACAAGAAGGTGAAACACTGTGCTGCTGTCGCTTGTTCCCAAAATGGAATTAGCCTACCCCATGGCACCATCTGCCCTTTTTGTAGGAATATCTGTACACTTGAAGGGACATTATGTTTGTATTTTTGTGGTGTGAACACAAAAGAAACTGTGATGATATTGTGTCCAAGTTTTAGTGCAAAGTTTTGTACTGTTTAGTATCACAGGCTTAACTCTGAACATGCCTGGCCCCATCTATCAATACTATGTTCCATGACATATGCAAGCAACAGCATAGTCACGGATTGATGGGTCAGTGACAAATAAGATTTTCAAAATGACCATCACGATTTTTACAAATCTTATTAAAAAGGATGTGATGTGCATTTTTATATTTGCATATATATTCACATTTATATCTGTGTGCATTTTTGATCATAAATATAGTGAGTGTTATTAAAGCTTTCAATTTCATATTTCAGTTATTAAAACTGCTGGTCTAGTTTCAGCATTTGACTTACTGGTGGAGCCACCTGACTTTTCAGACTAATTTAAAATTTAACAGGCATCTGTTACCCATAGAAACCTTTGTCCTTTTTTTCAAATAAATAAACATTGTTATAATAATTACACATCTTTATGGTTCTTCTGAGGACAGACTGCCTGACAAGGTAAACTGAACCATTCTAACCATGATTCAAACATCCCATTTTTTCCAAAATTTGTGAAAGGGCTACTGACATTGGCATTGCACATGCAGGTCACTTGGGGCCTTCTATATGCTGCAGTGCGGTGGCCCCTCTTTTGTAAAAGCATGTCAAAATAAAAGTCCTTAATAAAATAAAAGTTGCTGCCTAACATGAGGAAGTAAGAAACTGCAGACAAAAGTTTTAAGTGAGTTGAGCACTTTTAAAGTTGCCTTATTATGCAAGGTTTTTTTTTAGTAATTTTAAAATTTTCAAATATAAAATCATGCCACACTGTTTTAATTAGAGTTTTATATAACTAAATTATCTTTTTTGATAGTTTACTTAATGAACATATGTGGTTGGACTGTTGCGCTTAACATTTTTAGATTTTGGTGGCAAAAAAAACTAAATTTATATGGATGCACTAAAAATTGTTTGACATAAAAGAGGTACTGATGAATAATTTGAAATATGGCATGTATTTATTAAACAATTTTTTGGGGAAATAACAGACTTGGACACAAAAAATGCATGTCACGTCAATGACCCAGATACAGAATTTTGCTGATGTGTGCAATCAGTGTGCATATGTTGCATATTTCACAACAGCTTCTGTACTATTGAAGCTGTTTTCAAGTCGATGTAAGCAACATAATGGTCAAAAGTGATTCTATGAACCGCACAATGGTTTTTAATAGCTTGGCACAATAAAACAGAATTCATAATGTTAATGTGTGCAATCATACGTCTGTAAGTTGGGTATTTTACAACAGCTTCAAACATGGCTTAGATAGTCATATTTTCAAGTTGCATCTTAAAAAAATTTAGGTTCTCAGTTCTTATAGACATTACCTGAGTTCCAGAAGTAAATAAGTGATTGAAAGAAGGAGTGCTCCAGCTTGTCTTGTTGATAAAAGATTCTTCAGCAATTCTCTGGAGTTTTCAGCCCCCCCCCCTTTACCACACTGACCACCTTCCACAACAATTAAATGATTATGATCTCACCCTTCAACCCTGCTCTCTTTTCTGTTTTTCCTGCTCCCGCTCTCTTTTCCGGCTTATTTCATTCTGCTAGTTTTTACCCTTTTGCACTGTCAGACGTACATACTTGCATACCTCGTTCTCTCTCTCCCTCGCTCACCCTCCCGTTGCTCTTTTTTTACCTTAACGCACTCCTCCCTGAATTGAAAAAGCGCTCCTGCTGTTTGTCATTATGACACAATCCTATCTATGTCTCTCTCTTCCTCTTTGTTTTACCCCCCATCCGCCCTTTTTCCCCCGACACAATGCGGCATCGGAGAGACAAACAAATCTCCCCTCCCTTCCCACTTTCTTCTCCTCCTTCACATATTCTCTCTCTGTCTCGCTTTGTTTCTCCCTGTAACAACGACTTGACCTCTGCACCATGATTACTTGATTAGCTAGTCTCTTCACCTTCAAGGTTACCCTCAGATGACTAAATGCTCTCCATGCTGAGTTTGGCCTCTGCTCTGCAATGCCTGAGATACTGAGATGGCACATAAATAGCCGACTTATGAGTGTAATCTTCAGTCTTAGTATGTGATTGAAGCAGGAGAGCAGCTGAATTGTATTCATGTTTTATTGATTGAAACAGGTCTTTTGAATTTTTCATATGTCTCTCGAATATCATTACACTGTAAACAAATTGTGTGCTTCTCTCGTCTCCTCTCTCCTTCTCCTCCCTTCATTTCCCCCTTCAGATGAGATCGAAATGCTGGAGCGTCTCTGGCTCTCAGGGATCTGTCACAACGATAAAATCGAGGTGATGAGCTCCAAGCTGGACATCGACAACATGGCCGGGGTTTTCTACATGTTGCTGGTGGCCATGGGCCTGAGTCTGCTGGTGTTTGCCTGGGAGCACCTTGTCTACTGGAGGCTCCGTCACTGCATGAGCGGCTTGGGCCAGACCGGCAAACTGGACTTCCTGCTGGCCTTCAGCAGGGTAAGAGGGGCATAAGAGGACAGATAAGGCAGGATGGAGGAGATTAAAGGGGAGAAAAGAAGAGAGGAAGAGTGGTTGGGGAAATGAGGTGCTGGGGCAGGGTGAATAGTGTTGTGTGTTGTGTATGAGATATTGCGCAGTAGAGTGGGAGAGATGCTCTAACCCATAAGGCTGCTTGGTAATACTTTACCTCCAGGCTTAGAGTCCTTCCCAAATCAAATCCCCATATACGCTCAGAATAGCTGAGCCTGCTGGAAAATCGTATCAGAATACTGCAATCTTATTTCTGGGACAAATACTCGTCTCACAAAATAACACCTCTGTTGCCAATACCCTTTTTATCTCTCTCTCCCTTCCCCCCTCTTTCTCTCTTTCTCTCTCTCTCTCAGGGAATGTACAGCTGCTGCAGTTTTGAGGATGAAACTGCACAAGGTGGAGCCAAAGTTACCACCCACCATCATCCCTCCGTGGTGTCAGCCCCTCCCTCATCCCATGTTGTCACGGCAGCTGTGGCCAACCCAGCCATAGCATTGGTTCCGCAGCAGCAACAACAGCAGCAGCAGCAGCAGCCTCAGCCTCCGCAGTCCTACAAAACCCCACTTCCTGGGTCCCCTCCTGCTGTGGTGCACTCTGGAGCAGCAATGGGGCCCTCCACCACACCTCTTATGGGTGCACCTCTCCCATGCTCCACTTTCTTGCCCCGCCCAGACCGCAGGCTGGCTGTAGTGGACCGCTGGAGGCTTCCCAAATCTACCAGTGCAGCCATGGGAGTCAGGGGGGGCATGGCAGATATAGGGCCCTTCCCACAAAAAGGAGCTCCTACGTGGGCAGGCAGTGGAGCTGCTAGCAGTGGTCTGGATGGATATAAGAGGTACTATGGCCCTATTGATCCTGAGGGCCTGGGGCCATGTGTGGACCAGCAGGCAGGCTCTCAGACTCCCAAAACAGCCCCAAGGAGCCACCAGCAGCCCCCACCGGCTAGCATGGCTTTTTACCAGGAGAAGGGCATGGACCATGGGTTGGGGAAGAAGGTGGGAGTGGGTACTGCTGGAGGGGGTCAGGGGAAGGGGGTTAAGTCTTTGGGGACACCTAGGTTGCCCCCAAAAAGCCAGACCCCAGCCCCACTGCCCCCTAACCCCCCACTGCAGCACCCCTCTCCCCCTCTCCCCTCATCCCTCTGGAGAAAGCGCCGGCCCAAAAAGCCAAAGGAGCCTGGTGGTCCCCTGTACGAGAACATTCTGCCCTTGGGCAGGAGAGGAGGTGGCAGAGATGCAGGTCGTAGGCCCAGACCATCTCCCCCACTCCCCATTCCTGTGCCTGTACCCCTTTCCCCAACATACACCCCTCCATCCCCCTCTGCCTCACTCCCTTACACCTCCACCTCATCCTCCTCTTCCAGCACTAGCTCCTCTAGCACTTCCTCCGCCTCTTCCTCTCGATCCACATCTCCCTCGTCCACCTCTAGCACCTCCTCACGTAGCACTAGGGATAGAGAGGCAGAGGAGGACGAGGAAGAGGACCTGGATGAGCTAACTGAGGAATCCAGCCTTCTACAAGGACATAACCGAGACAGAGAACGCTCCATTCTATCTCCCAGATCCTTTACGCATGGTCCACCACCACCTCCTGTACCCCCGCGCAAGCCTCGTGGCCCTCATGGAGAGAGAGAAAGCGGAAGAGAGAGAGAGAGGGGTGGCAGCCAGCTTGCCCAACTCCAGGAGTGGTGGGCGGGATGGGGGGAAAGAGAGAGGGAGCGAAGTGGTGGAGGATCTGGTGACACTGAACGGAAGCGGGAGAAGAAGCGCCGGAAAGAGCGTGAAAAGGAGAAGAAGAAAAAGAAAAAGAAGAACAAGAAAAGGAAGAAGAGAGAGGAACGTGAGAGAGAGAGGGAGCGCAAGCGGCGAAAGGTGAAAAAGAAGAAGAAGAAGGCAACAAAGGTGAAAAAAAAGAAGAAGGTGTCTGCTGGCAAGCGCTCGGAGCCGGAGGAGGGTGATGTGGAGGCAGAGAGAGAGGGAGATGGGGATGCAGAAAGAGAGGGAGAGTACTCCTCTTTCTCCACCCAGTACCGCAGCACATTTGGAGACAAGGGAAACCTCTCACTTTGGGAAAGTGAGAGGGAGAGAGGGAGGAGAGAAGGAGGGGAGGAAATGGGAGACGAACGAGATGAGGAAAGTGGAGGGGGTCGGAGCAGAGAAAGGAGGCCAAAGAGCAGCCACACACGTCACAGGCCGTCCAGCAAGCGGTACCCTAACCTCAACAAGTTACCCGCCTCTGTCAAATTCTGGGTCAGTGGAGGGGGTACAGAAGCATCTGGAGGGTCACCTCCCTCATCCCTGCACACCCTTCTACCGTCAACCAAGCGACGGAGGAGTAGCGGAGCAGAGAGGGAGGCAGGAGGGAGAGGAGGAGAGCGGCGGCCGCTGCTTCTGCACTATGAAAGGGGCCGGGCGCACACCCGAGAGGGATTGTCATTCCATGAGTGGGACTCAGAGGATGAAGAGGAGGACGACGAAGAAGAGGAGGAAGAGAGAGAAAGGGAGCGAGAAAGGGAGAGGGTGGAGGAGAGAGTAAGGAGGGCAGGGGGAAGAGGGGCAGTATCCGAATCTGAGAGGGATCGAGTCCAAGCAGAGGAGAGTTACTCTGATGATGGATCCTCTGGGGAGTTTGGCCGCTTCGAGAGGTACTGGGAGGGCAGCGGGACGGGAGGGGTCAGCGGAATAGGAGGCGGGGGCTGGTTTTTCGGAACCTACCCTGCCCGAGAGAAAGGAGGAAGCATTAACAGCCGAGATGATTCCATCCTGGGGCGATCTGAAGGGTGGGGAGGGGGAGATTTTTGGGGTTCGGGTGCAGGGATTGGCTGGGGCTCTAGGGGAGGGAGTGGGGGACTCGGTCCACAGTGCCCACCATTTCCCACTTCGCTCCCACCCCCTAGACGTTATTGGTCCGTAGATAAGTTGCCGATGAAGGGTGAGAAACGTGGTCGCAGCGGGTCAAAGGGTAAAAGTCAAAGGGCTCGGGACAGGGAGCAAGATGCATGCTCATATGCGCAGTTTAGCCACGGCAGACCTCATGGCCACCCCAAGCGGGGCAGTATCACCTCGCGCAGCCAGGAGGAGCTGCTCCCCCACTGCCACAGCTTCAGCGGGGGTTCCCGCCCCAAACTGCCCCCAAAACCTGACACCACGAAATCCGGGAGCCAGTCCAACCTCAGTACCCAACAGGCACAGCATTCAGAACCGGCACCTTCCCCTCCCCAACCCTTGCTACCCTCCACGTCCGCCCCCTCTTCCCTCCCCATGCCCATCCCCCCACCCCCTTCTTCCGCTTCAGTGTCCCCCCCACCAGTGCTGTCACCTGGGCCGGCCACGGGTGCTTCCCAGTCCGTGACAGCCAGTGCCAAGCTCCAGTACCAGAGACTGCGCTCCGTGCCCCAACCGCGACGCTTTTATTCCCCCCACCTGCCCCTCAAAGCCAAGAGCCTGTGCTCACGCCGTGGCTCCGCCCACTTCTCCAGTCTGGAGAGCGAGGTATGACACGGGGCTTCGCTGCTGCGCGTGTGTGTGAGCTCTACGGTGAGACGCAGCTGGAGTGTGACGCACATACACGTGGCGCACAGGGACCAGGGCAGCGACTACAACCGCCATGACGGCGGCGGCCGGGATGGCGGCAGTGATGTCATGACAGGAGACGGGTCAACGAAGGCCATCTCCGTCACCACGGAAACCCCAGCCGTGCTCCACCTCCGGTCTGAACTGAGCATTACGATGTCATCCGTAGTCCTGTCCTCCAATGAGAATGCTGGATAGCGCTTTTTTCCGGAATCTGTGAGTAATGATGTCATGTTTACACACACACACTCCGTCATTTAAGGAAAAGACTTTTTTGTTTGTTTTTGGTTGTCCGCCTTCAACGGGAGTTCACTGACCACGGAAACTGCTGGGGCTAAGGCTGCTTTTCCAATTTGTTAACGGCTGACTTGCAGTGAGCAAGTAATCAGTCTGACCTGTGGTCACCATCCCCTGATTGGCTGAGAGACGGCCTTGCTTCTCTTGCTTTCGCCTCAGCGATGCAGTCACATCCCTCCTTTTTGTGTCCGATCCTCACAGCCACGTCAGAAAGAGCTGTTTGAACCTTGACCTCATCAGTTAAGCGTCAAGGATCAACACTTACATTTGCTTTATTTTTAATGCAAGACATCAGCCGATCAGATCCCGTCGGGGGAAATTTCCCCCATCTCATCCTATCAGAACTCTGATGCTGTGGTGTCGCTGTTGTGTCAAACAGGGACGTAACTATGGTCTAAGGAGACGTACTTCAGAAAAAACAAATGGACAACAACAAAGTACATGTAGCAGTTTTTTCTGTAAGATTTGTTTTGTTACTCCAGGATTCCCCACTCCTTTTTTATTCTGTCTATTTATTGCTCTCACTGTGTTAGTATTTTAAAAGTAGAGTAAGCTAGCTGTGTCTGAAGTTAAATAGTAGACTAGTCTTGGATGCCAAATAACAGAGCATACAGATCACTAGAGTGGACCCACGCCATTTGATCTCTCTTGTTGGCTTTTACAGTATATAACACAAAAGCAATACATAACTGTCTTAACCAAAATGAGGATGGGTTGCAATATCTATAATTGGCACTAGATGGCTACATAATATTAAAATTAGTTAATAACACTCGCTGGTGGGCCTTGTCTTTTAGATGTGTACTGTACAGTTTCTTTAATAGTCAACTAATTTTGCAGATAGAAAGAATTGGCAAACTCTTTGGGTGTATCACCACCACTTGTTGCTTTGGCAGACACTATTTTCCACTGCAAAGAGGATGCATTTTAGAAAGCACAAAAGCTCTGGCTCATGCCAGCAAAGGCATCAGCATCATCAGTTAATACATCAAGGGCAAACAATACAACCGTCTTTTATCCAAAGCAGTGCTAATACACATAGACACATGAATACTGAGCACACATCAGGCTTTCAGTTCTTTCAGACGAACCTACTCCATGAAAACGCTAGCGAGGCTTATTTGACGTCAGGCACAGCTCATTTGCCCTCGTTGTAGTTGAATGTAGCTTTGACATGATGTAGCAAAATGTAGAGACACTTTTAGACTTTGTAGCATTTTTTGGATGCTCATGTCACTGGACATCACGGTTACACCTGCAAGTCACGGATGCAGAGTTACTCGCACAGATAAAGAGATTAGATCACCCTTTACCCTTTTGTTTAAGAGGATCTGTGATGTCTGTCTCTCGCTTTATTAATGAGGACTATTTTTTTGGAAGTGTGTTATCATTTGCAATGAGAGGGATTACTTTGCCCCGTTTTGCAAAGGGTGGCTACACATAATCGCATTCGTAGGGGATAAATGAACATGCTCAGGTATTGAAGTGCGGTTTGTGCAATTGAATTGTGAGCGCAGCCGCTCAGTCCCTTGTGATCCATGGTGTTTTCTTTCTACCTGTATTCTGACAAGCCCCGCCCCATGCACCTGGACTGGCTTGTAGTTCATACTTACAAGTAGTTCACGTTTTTGTGATCTAACTAGAGCATAGTATTCTGACTGCCTGTTGCTCTCAAACATTTTATGTAATTGTTCTAACTAGGGGCAGCACGGTGGGTAGCGCTGTCGCCTCACAGGAAGAAGGACTGGGCGACCCGGGTGCTTTCTGTGTGGAGTTTGCATGTTCTCCCTTTGTCTGTGAGGGTTTCCTCCGGGTTCTCCGGTTTCCTCCCACGGTCCAAAGACATGCAGTCAGGCTAATTGGAGATGCTAAATTGCCCCTAGATTGAGTGTGTGTGAACGTGTATGTCTGTCTGTCTGCCCTGCGATGGACTGGCGACCTGTTCAGGGTGTATCCTGCCTTCCACCCAGTGACCGCTAGGATAGGCTCCAGCACCCCTCGTGACCCAGAAGCGACTTAGTAAATGTGTGTGTGCACTTGATGCATTTGTTCTGTATTCAGATGTGTTGCTAGTGTTTAGAGCCCTCGTTAAGCACTGGGCAGTCAGAATCCTGTGCATTGGTTGTTCTAGCACGAGTTTGCCTACTGGCCAGAATTCTTACAAGTATTTTGGGCATTTAGATTCTAACTAGAACACATAGTGTGTAAAATTTTAATCGCCCTTGTGTTCTAACAGCAGTGTATAATTAGTGTGTACAGTTCTGTCCACATTGGCGTAGTTGCATTCTAGCCCTAATGCCGTACCCGCAGACTTGAGTAGCAATAGAATACATGATGTAATCAGGAAATAAAAAGAAAAAGGTAACCGAATTCTGTTGCAGTTACCACAAAAATTACTAGCAGGATTAAACTGAAATCACTCTGGCACACCAAACGCAAAAGGCGACAATGTTTTATCCGCCCTCAGTTAGATTTTTGCAAACTTTTGCAGGTGAATACCACCAGTCTCGGTTGTCTTTGCACGCTGGTGTCCTCAGCAAGGGGGAAAGGTTTGCTGTTTTTGCTTTTCTGAAATGGAAGGTCGTCTACACAGTGGCATCCTTTACCCTTGTAAAGATCAAAAGATATCTTTGGCTACGTTCACACAGCAGGTAAAAGTGGTCCAAATCAGATTTTCTCAACAAATTTGTTTGGCTGTTCACAATATCTTTTAAATGTGACCTAAATAAACAATCATGACCATCAGCTAACGCCAGTCTGCTCCAGGGCATGGTCACTTCTTTGGTTTGTGTCATCGGATTCTTTAAACTTTGATTTCAGACTTTTAACTGTTGTTTGACACCGTGGTCGTTCTCCTCCAGCCGCGTTCGGCCATTTCTTTCGAAATCTCTTTGAACACGAAACGGAAAGTCTCTTCTAATTTTTTGTACAGAAACATCACCCCAAATCTTTATGAGGTCTCAGCAGCACAAAATGATGGTGAATGTCGGGTTGGATTGACGTAAAAGTCGCAGGAATTCCAATCTGGCTGTTCAGACTGAGTCGCATTGCCGCAAATCGGATACGTATCAGATTTCATTTAAAAGAGTCTCAAATCGGAATTGAAAATGTCAGGTTCAGTGTGATTTATGCTGTTCACACTGACACACAGATCCAAAAGTTTGGATTTGGGCCACTTTTATCTGTTGTGTGAACAAAGCCTTTGTCACTTGAATGACATTCTGCCATTCATACGTTTTTTCACAGCACAAATAACACAACGAAATGGTCTATTCAATATAATATTGAAATGTTTAAGTTTTAACTTGTCTTTATTACATGTTTTTGTAAAAATAAGTAATCCAAAAGTAACAGAAAATAATCATATTATGTGACTTTAATAGGTTGTTTTGGATTAGATAACATTTTTAACAAGTAATCAGTAATTTGTACCACAATGCTTTTTTAGAGTAAAGTTAAGCTTTCTAGTCAGAGCACAGGTACCAGCTGGTAGCTAGAACTGTACATTCTACCTGTGCATTCCTGTTAGAACGCAGTGGTGGCCAGAGTTCTACTTACACCAGAACTCTTTGTATATCTCTTATAGCACAGGTAAACCTCTGGGCTTCCAGAATAACTAAGCGTTGTAGTTCAATCAGAGGTTCATGGACTACGCAAGTATGAACTACTAGCCTGTTTCATTGCAGGAGGCCTTATTGTCAGACTGCAGTAGGGGGTGTGTTCGGGGAGGGGGGGGTGTTAACAGGGGCTGCAGAGCAATTGAACAGATCTGGTGTGGCGTGTGTTCACTTGATCTGTCACTGACCCTCACTGAGTTAAAAGGCGCTAACACGGTACTCTGTGACTGCATGTACAGAAGATTTTTTTTCCATGTAGCTTAATTTTGCTGAGAAAAAAAATATATCTCTATATATACTGTTTTTGGAGAATGTATCATGTTATGCTGTGAATTAACTTAGATATTTGATTGACCATTGTATTAAGTTATCATTTGAATTCTATCATTTATCTATACAACATATATATGTACAAATAAATATATACATATATATACAGACAGGTATATATATACTGAGTTAAGTTTGGTATACTTGGAGGAAGTGTTAGAGAAATAGTTTTAAATGTTTTAGCTTTGTAGCAATTCTAGACACTGGAAACATTTTTGAATTTTGATTCCTCCTATATGACTGTGAAAACATTAGTGCCTGTGAAAAGAAAAAAAGACAAGAATCAAGTCTAATGTCCTCATCCATCTATCCATCCATCCATCCATTTCACCCCATTTTTTCACTGATTCTTTGATATTTGCAAGCGGGTTTTTCACTGACTTTAATACTGCTTTAATATACGCTTCTGTAATACTGCCTAATGTTTTTGGTCTTGTTTTTTCCAGCTTTTTCACACATCCATTCGTCTATCCATTCATCTGTTCATCCATCCATCCATCCGTCCGTCCATCCACTACGTATCCATCCATCCATCCACCTGTGGGTATTGGTAAGCTTATTTGTTGTTTTTCTGTTTGACTCCAATACTGTTTCACTACTCTAATACTACCTAAACTACTGCGTTCTCATTATATTTTCTTATTCATGCATACATTCAATGTTTGGGATTAATTTTTTATGATTCCTCTCTTGTATTATTAAATCATTCGGGTGTCTCCTAATAACCATAAATCCTTTTTTTGTTAACCTGCCAGTCCTAATAGATTTACTACTTTCTACATGTACCTGTTTTTCATTTTGAATTCATGGTTTAACGCACTGCTTTATCCCTCTGTCAGTTCTCACACTTAGCAAAAAACAGAGACCAGTAGCTACTGTGTTCTTGCTCCTGTTGATTGATTATTAAAGATGATGATCAATTTGATTCTAAGCAAAATGTAATGGATTAATGAA